TAAGAGCGAGAAAGGGAAACGCTATCAGGATGTAAAGCGATTAGATGGTAAGACTAGAGTTTTGAGAGCGTATGTTAAAGAAAAAGCATTGCCGTGCAGTATGCACGGGTTCTCGCTAGTATGCAATACTAATGTCCTCGCCAGAATAAAAGAGGGGTGAGTGTAAGTTCAATAACTCGACAACCGCAATAGCTAGCTACCTGTGGTTTTCAGCAATCGAAAGAGGAGGAGCGGGCACGTCTTTTTCTCCGATAATGTATACGACGAAATTCTTTTACAACTAATGATATTTGAAAAACATGCAAAAGAACTCATGAAAATAACCTGCCAGCAAGATGAAATTTTGATTTTGACCTTAAGAAAAAGTAAGAAAGCGCATTGTGTCTTGAACTGTAGATCTCAAGTCCCTCTATCTAAATCGAAGGTCAAAATCAAAATTTCATCTAGCTGGCAAGTCATTTTCATGAGTTCTTTTGCATGTTTTTCAAATATCATTAGTTTTAAAAGAATTTCGTCTCATAGATTTATCGGAGAAAAAGACGTGCCCGCTCCTCCTCTTTCGATTGGTGAAAACCGCAGGTAGCTAGCTATTGCGGTTGTCGAGTTATTGAGCTTACACCCACCCCTCTTTTATTTTGGCGCGGACATAAGACACATGCAAACATCTTTTGAATGGCTAAGAGTATTTGCTTTGTTCAATTCTATTTTGTTCAAACAAGATCTAATTAGAATTTTCAATGTTAGCATATTTATACTAATGGGAAATAGGATCCACAGAAACGGTCATGATCACTTCAATGAAATATTTTCCAAAAAGAGAAATATTGTGTACAGTCAATAAACTTATAATCCACTGAAATGGAAAAAAATGCGAACTATTGTGAAATTGGTTGCAGAACAAAATATAAGTTCTACTGTATTCAATTATGGAAAAACTAAATCGATCTCAGGGTTTGTGTTATACATTACTTTATTCTATTATACTAATTCTTCTTCATATATCTCAAATGTCTTTCTCACAGTTATCTCATTGATTCCTGATCAATAGAGTGATTTTGGTGTCATCGAGATAAATTCACTGAAAAAGAAATTCAATTTATCAATATATTTATGTCTAGAAATATCGTTTCTAATTTATATAGTGACGGTAACTGTATGTAACTGCAATAGTAGACTGAAAGAATCATATCATAAAAACATTTACTCAACACGAATTTATTTGCGTTGAATTCATAACCGTGAATCTTCAAAAACAAATTGTTTCAAACTATGAAATGATTAAGACATACTAGAATTATAATGTCGGTTATTACATATTACAATTTTCAACAATCGATAGATCTATAAATGTGCTGTGAAAAAAGTGACTAGAGATATAATTTACAGTGACACGACGGTACATATAAATTTCATGCTTGTATAAAACTCCACACACGTTGTCTTTTAAAAAAGTACGCCGTGCCATCATACAGAACGAAAAATTTGGAACTGATACATAGAAAGAGTAATCGAAGCTAGATCACCCTTAAACTTTGTAGGTTCAATGAAATAAAATGAGTTCGACCGATATAATTTCTTATATTAGTCAATACAACGCAGCATACGTCAAATAATTTCTTAACAGAGCCTGATTTAGCATAGGTCCACGAAAAAATAAATTTATCCCGTTCTACTTGTATGCTATGAAAACTACTAAGACTTCTATATTTGTTACACGTCAGTCCGTTTAGTCGTTTTAGGACGTAGGTGAGGGTGCCAAAGGATTCTACAGAGACTAAAGAGTGCTAAAGGGACTAAAAATACTAAAGGGATCTAAAGGAACCAAAAGGACTGCAGGGACCTGAAGTGACTAAAGGGGCAAGTTGGATGATGTAAAAGTAAAACTGGATAAATTTTATTTTTCGTGGACCATTCATGACTATTGTATTACTATTTATTTTTAGTTTTTAATGATTAGCATTTCAATTAGAAGGAACCTTATGCTGTAGAAAAGTATTAAATGACAACTCGATATTCATTGTCGTATGACAATAGTTTGGCTTATGCTTTTGTCCCGACAATTGATTATTTATGAGTTTGTATGGCAGAATTTTTCAAGCTGATAATGATCGTTTGTATATTTTTTAACCTTAAAAAGTCGAAAATTTCTTTGCATACAAACATGGTAAATGAAATAGTAAAGTATTGCACTGTATATTGTTTTCCTTCAATAAACTATGAAAAAAATGTTCAAAAACAGCGTTTCAACACGAAAATAATCGAAAAAAAAACATTATTTTCACATGTAGACCCATCTTTTTTTATTCACATTGCATTTTTTCAACTTGATATGGCATCCAAAAACACCGAAGAAAAGTGATCATGACAGAACACTTTTCTTTTCATTCAAAACCATTTATAACATCGTTCGTACTTGTGTACTTTCTTGCGTCTGGTGTGTTGATTCATCATGCATTTAAACATATGCTTTAGCTATCTGTTAATGAAAATAAGAAAAGTTTTATAAATCCATTAGAGAGTCATATTATAAGGTAGATTTTGGAGAAAACGTGAATCATTCCACAGACAGTTAAATGAATACTAGGATTCGTATTTTGACTAAAACAGTCTTTTTATGAAATAAAAAATCTTCAAATATCTAGAAGAACATTTCATGATATCATAATCAAAAATATATCGGTTAAATAGTGCTATTCTTGACGTAAACAGATGACTATACAGCAGCAAAATGTATTTGAATATTCGAATATCAATAGTTGTGTAGCAAACATCAAAAGCGCAAATGAATAAAATCATTTCACCTTGATTAATAAAAATCTCTTCAGCAAATTTGTAAAGATATAGATAATATGATATTGAGAAAAGTACTCTGTTCAATTTTTTCTATGCAATGATTTCTTGTACATTACTGTTGAAAATTCTTAACAGAATCTTCAGTAACTCATAATTAGAGCTTTAAAGTTCTTCATCAAGGTTTCAATTCATTCAAAGAGATTATTTTTTATGAGAAAAAAAATAGTGCACGTTGTTGACTGACGTCACTATACTTTAATTAAATTTTAGTCTACGTTTTATTTTTCATTACCGACTTCTTGCGTAGGCTGCCAAAGAACATTATTTGCTTTGTTCTCAACACAGGTTCGAATATTTTTATAACATATTTACTCGACGAATAATTCACTTTCACAAGCATACGTTTTCGTTCTTTTCAAACACAATTTATGAGTAATACCCACAATAACCGTCTTTCATTTTTATTGTTCCCTTCTTCTGTTTCTTGTCATCTCTTACTTCGTTCTGTTCTTTCTTCAAGCAAGCAAATCGATGTAAATATTTTTACAGAAAACTTTATCTTTCCTACTTGTAAATATAAAACTTTCTTTGGATGAATCTTACTCGTACTTTTACAAGTGTTGCATCATGATCTAAGAAGATGTTAGTTATAAATCAATAGTATGATGCTTTGCATGTCGATTATTCTTCGACGTTTGCAACACTCACTACGATATATTTTCTTCGAAATCTTTACAGTTTTAAGACAAGAAATTGCTAAGAAACTTGCAATAGAATGATGTAAATTTCATAAATTAATAACTGTGGATAAAAGAATAATAGAAAAGGACTTTCATGAGCCAAAACTACGTTCATAGGTAGATATTCGAAAATTTTTCTCTTCGCCATTTAAATCTCTAAGCAAAGGTTTAATTGAGATAAAGCTTAAAGAGATATGCTTAGGTAAACTGAAAAGATTCAACTCTTCAACTCAGTAATAGGTACCATTATTAGTCGTGAACCCCTGTTACTTTGCGTGAGAAAAAAATTTCTAGAACCAAATAGTGAGCAATAGAAAAATTGATAGTAGTTGTGCAATTTTGAAACAATTTAAAGAATAGTTGCAATGTCTATGTACCTTTCCCATAGGAATACTCACTGTGAGTAATCATTGAAAAATCCCAAGGAAGTGGCAGAACCAGAAAAAAGTTGAATAAAAGAAGAGAAAAGCATTCGTCAGAATATTTTTTTGTTTCTTTTTTAATAAGTGGCACTTTTTTTGCACGACAGACTATAAACAAGAATAGAAAGCTATGGCGGCGTCAACATCAACACCATACGATATACTTGGAGCAGCAAAAACTGATAAAGATTATGCCTTACGTGTGGCATATCGTGCACGAATTCATGAATACAAGAATGATCGACTTAAAACCCCTGAAAATCGTAAAATTAAACCGGAAAACTTTCGACTTATTTGTCGAGCTTATGAAACCTTAT